CGAGGGGCGCACGTCAAAAGCGACGCGTCTCGTCTGATGTAACGCTTTAGGTAGGAGAGAGTTTGTTCTTATTTGGCCACTCTATATAGTGAGGAAATCGGGAGTCACGGTTATAATAGCGTGTATCCGTTCTAAGCAGATAGACTTCGATGGGATAGGAAATGGACTGAATTGACTTGGGAATAAATGTTTAGCGTGCTAATGAGGCAATGGGTACATGTTATATCCGATTTCTTAATACTCTGATGTGTTATTTCCTAGCACGACAAGAGCTGTGTGTTTCGTTGCTCTATGCTATATATTAGGTAAAGAACACCAATGGACAAAAAAAGGAATACGGAGTATACTCCGTGACGATTATGATGCGAAAAGAATATACTGCGGTCATCAAAACGTATGTCATCGTAAGCTTTTAAGACATCAATGCAGTTGCAGGCGACCCTGTAATTGGACGTCACAGTTGGCAGCAGCAAGGAAGCTTGGGGAAAGCTCACCGAACCCATGTTTATTATGTATGGAATGTGTGGATATTGTTATTAATCCGCCAGAACAATGCAAACCGTGCACTACGAACGCATCAGCTGTCGGGGAGTAACAGACGAACTTAATATTGGTTTTTGTGTGCGCGGCACAGAAGTTACTAATGAAGTAGCCTGTGTGTAAATCTTTTTTTCCAACCGTGAAGGTAATTTCGGCTATTTCATTAGCAATCAGACGCTTTTAAATTGAGGTGAGGACATGACGGAAAGGCGTCAGAATCGAACGTGATTATTTTTTCCCAAACTTCACAGGCGTAATGCGCATGGTTCGGCGACACTCGCGTTCGATGCTATATGCCGCTACACCCCACGTCATGACTCGCATTGGCCCGATTTGGCAGGTGGATATGATGCAAATAAAAATATCGATAACGTGTTGAGCCCGAATCTCATCGTATAATCCACGGAATCGAAATACGAGGCCGTACGTGGTTTCCGTCAAACGAAAGATGATTGAAAACAGTCACCGGGCAGCATGCCGACGTCTGCTAATAACAGAACATTTATATAATAAAAAAAAAATGGATTTGTGTTTGGTCGGTACCGCAATGATCGTAGAACGGTGTATTTCAATGTCTTTGGTTAGCAGCGAGGATTCCGAAAGCCATTCGTGGTGCTGTGAATCAAACAATGGGTAAACGCGATGGAGAAAATTAAAAGTTGAATAGGGACAGGGTTACTTGTAAGATAGAACCTTTCTTTCAAGGTAGACCACAAAAATACTATACGTGTGACCACGTTCTCATTCAGCTATACTCACCATGCCAGGCAGCAGATCAATAGTCGATACATTTTCACAGAAGGCCAGAGAGTCGGCATCTGCTGTCGACACGGTTATACGCCCGATTCCACTATGCACAGTCAATCTCCTGTGTACTCGCGTTTATACTATGTAGTGTGCTATTTATGCTCAGGCATACTGTAAAATATCGAATAAAATGTGGGCAGGCCGAGAAGCGCCGCATCACGCCTCATCAAACGGTTCTGACAATGTGACGTCATTGGTCTCGTATTGGAAAGCCAATGTAGGTGGCGCACTAACATGACGAAAGAAAATGTTACATTGACGCATGACAGGTTACACTTATGGCGTATTTTTCAAAACATGCAGCAATTATTATCGCATTTTAGCTAAATGTTTTTCGATCAAACGTGTTACAAGTTTGATGTAATTACCGAAATTGTTTTCTGCTACTTACAGTCGTTTCAGTCCCCTGGTAATAATTCATGTATCGGTTTATATATTTTGTATTTATATTGTACTACGTTACAAATTCGACGTATTTTAATTCTGTGAGTGTGATAGGGATAATTCTACAAACATTCACTATATCATATAAATAAAAATAAAACGGCATATATAATAGATAGCATCCCAAAGTAGTGGTTTGTGTTTATATATATATATAATATGGTGTACTTGTAAAACATTACACTTGGACACTTCGGAGATACATTCATTGTCCGAATGTCGGTTGTTAATCGTAATGAATTGCCGTTGATATCGATGTAACTTGCTGGATTAACGGAGCCTCGTTCTGTGTCTCTGGTTGAGTAGTTTGTTCGCACGCATTAAATTCATTTGTTTCACAGTCAATCGGACGCTGACCGCTGAAAATTGTATTCACAATAGAACCAGTTATTATACATATCATGAATTAGGTGCTGTGACTTTCAAATCATCTTGTTTGAATAACAAATTCTGGCAACGCAGTAGTAATTCATCAGCGTTACTAGAAAACCGATGGGCGTATTTCGTATCATGAATCGTACTTAATAAAAAAAAAAGATTGATTGTGTAGCTACGCTGTTAAGTGGAACATGTGACAAACCACTTCGTTGTTCTTAATGTTCGAATTCTCACTCGCCGCAGAACGTGATAAAATGATAAACGTACCAGACATCCCAAAGTAGTAGTTTGCGTTTATCGTTAACTGCAAATGATACACCTCCTATGCTACAAATAATTGAACCCCAAGGTATAGTCTCTACAGCTAGGGTACAATAAATTAAAACTTATGAGAACTCAAAACATTGTATCTGGAATACAGATCGTAAAATGTACCCGTATTTATTCATACTTATTCAAAGTCTACATTCGCTACATTCTTCAATTCCACCGTTGTTTGTATCATGTGTGTACATAATCTCCTCTCTTCTCATGTATATGATTAGTTTCATGTCCACGTGTTTAACTGTCGTGTTATATTGAATATAAAGGAATACTGAGAGGAAAACAAGGAATTATAACGCAGCTGCATACAAATAATACTGTTGGGTTTAAACACATTTAAATGACACCACACACATACAGGATTCAAATTAATTTGAAAAGTATAATAAGAACAAATGACACGTACACTGCACCCCAAAGAAAGAAAGATTGACGTCATAAATGCACACGACTAAGAAGTGATGTCACATGTTTATTTTAGGTATATTACTCAATCGTTATTATGAAAAATAAAAACAAGAAAATCCTCATTCTGCATTAACCCCTTCATCTGGTATTTGACTGTTTATCCATCATAATTAATTCACTGTCACGGATGATTTAATTTCGGATGTCATTAAAAGACATGGCCGATAATCTTGTCCCCAATATTAGAAATTATTTGCATTAACTTTCCCAACAATATTTTTGTAGCGTATGCATTCGGGGGGGTCACAACATGCATACTTAGACCGCCATTGTACCATATATGCTTTGATGTTCTACGAAGCGATTTAATGGACCGCAAGGGTCACATCATAGAAAGCGCAGGTGTGTTCGCACCATTTAACATGTGACATGTACGATGCGTTGTGGTTGCTGAATTACTAATATTATCACATTTGGTGTCAATACCATACGCATTAAACAATATGTGTTTTTACATATATATCACATGCACTAAACAATGTTTTTACATATACAACACATACACTAAACAATGTTTTTACATATATATCACATACACTAAACAATGTTTTTACATATACATCACATACACTAAACAATGTTTTTACATATAGATCACATGCACTAAACAATGTTTTTACATATAGATCACATGCACTAAACAATGTTTTTACATATATATCACATGCACTAAACAATGTTTTTACATATACATCACGTGCACTAAACAATGTTTTTACATATACATCACATACACTAAACAATGTTTTTACATATACATCACATGCACTAAACAATGTTTTTACATATACATCACATGCACTAAACAATGTTTGTACATATACATCACATGCACTAAACAATGTTTTTACATATACATTACATGCACTAAACAATGTTTTTACATATACATCACATGCACTAAACAATGTTTTTACATATACATCACGTGCACTAAACAATGTTTTTACATATACATCACATACACTAAACAATGTTTTTACATATACATCACATGCACTAAACAATGTTTTTACATATATATCACGTGCACTAAACAATGTTTTTACATATATATCACATGCACTAAACAATGTTTTTACATATACATCACGTGCACTAAACAATGTTTTTACATATACATCACATGCACTAAACAATGTTTTTACATATATATCACATGCACTAAACAATGTTTTTACATATACATCACGTGCACTAAACAATGTTTTTGCATATATATCACATGTACTAAACAATGTTTTTACATATATATCACGTGCACTAAACAATGTTTTTGCATATATATCACGTGCACTAAACAATGTTTTTGCATATATATCACATGCACTAAACAATGTTTTTACATATATATCACATGCACTAAACAATGTTTTTACATATATATCACATGCACTAAACAATGTTTTTACATATATATCACATGCACTAAACTATGTTTTTACATATATATCACATGCACTAAACAATGTTTTTACATATATATCACATGCACTAAACAATGTTTTTACATATATATCACATGCACTAAACAATGTTTTTACATATACATCACGTGCACTAAACAATGTTTTTACATATATATCACATGCACTAAACAATGTTTTTACAAATATATATCACATGCACTGAACATTTTTTGTATATGTATATCACATGCACTAAACAATGTTTTTGCATATATATCACATGTACTAAACAATGTTTTTGCATATATATCACATGTACTAAACAATGTTTTTGCATATACATCACGTGCACTAAACAATGTTTTTGCATGTATATCACATGTACTAAACAATGTTTTTGCATATATATCACATGTACTAAACAATGTTTTTGCATATATATCACATGCACTAAACAATGTTTTTGCATATATATCACATGCACTAAACAATGTTTTTGCATATATATCACATGTACTAAACAATGTTTTTGCATATATATCACATGCACTAAACAATGTTTTTGCATATATATCACATGCACTGAACAATTTGTGTATATATATATATATATATATATATATCACATGCACTAAACAATGATTTTGCATATATATCACATGTACTAAACAATGTTTTTGCATATATATCATATGTACTAAACAATTTTTTTGCATATACATCACATGTACTGAACAATTTATGTATATATATATCACATGTACTAAACAATGTTTTTGCATATATATCACATGCACTAAACAATGTTTTTGCATATACATCACGTGCACTAAACAATGTTTTTGCATATATATCACATGTACTAAACAATGTTTTTGCATATATATCACATGTGCTAAACAATGTTTTTGCATATATATCACGTGTACTAAACAATGTTTTTACATATATATCACATGCACTAAACAATGTTTTTGCATATATATCACGTGCACTGAACTATGTTTTTACATATATATCACGTGCACTAAACAATGTTTTTGCATATATATCACGTGCACTAAACAATGTTTTTGCATATACATCACGTGCACTAAACAATGTTTTTGCATATATATCACATGTACTAAACAATGTTTTTGCATATATATCACATGCACTAAACAATGTTTTGCATATATATCACACGCACTAAACAATGTTTTGCATATATATCACATGCACTAAACAATGTTTTTGCATATATATCACATGTACTAAACAATGTTTTTGCATATATATCGCATGCACTAAACAATGTTTTTGCATATACATCACGTGCACTAAACAATGTTTTTGCGTATATATCACATGCACTAAACAATGTTTTTACATATATATCACACGTACTAAACAA